TTTTTTTTTTTTTTTTTTTTTTTTTTTTTTTTTTTTTTTTTTTTGCAAGTTATATAACACCCTTCATATTACTATGTTTGTTATTCCTCTGGTGTTGATAATAGCGATGATGATGACGATGATGATGATGATGTTAAGGCGCCAACAAATCTCTATTGGAATGGGGAAAATGGTGAAATGATTCATACATATATATACATGTGTACGTATATGTTTAATGATATTACCCTCTTGAGGGTTGAATCTATTCTATATTTCTCCACTTTCATACAAATTAATATTTGTAAACTTCACTTAACTTATCGGTCAGTAATTCTCGGGACTGTTTTGTAGAACATCTGATTCCCAGATTTAAGAAAAGGTCGCAAGGACATTAATGAACGCTCAAAAGAGATGGCTACACTTAAGAAAACTGAAAATCTTACTCGATAACCGAGAGAAGTGAGATTGTAAAAGGGGTAACCGATATCGCATACTATTCATATTTGGACAGATGAAAAAAAAAAATCACCATTTCTCAATGACAACGGCAATAACAAAATTACATGAATTGAAGTTTAAGTTGTTGTCGCCCCTCTCCACACCCGCCGGTGTCTATTATCTGTTTGCAAGTCATACAGGTATGCTTAAGATATGCTATAGATGGAATCATTGCGGAAACTGGAGTGAAAGTGTTAGACTGAGTGACCCTCACTCTTGAAGGAGAGACTATGGGCGATGAAGAAGAAAGTTGCATTTTCTAAGAGGGAAAAATCTTTTTTTCTTATTTAGTTCTGGGAATTATTGAACAATGCATTTACTTATGACAATAGAAATATATTTCTCATAATGTTATTGTTTTGAAACACAGAGTACTAAATATAATTTTATTATAATTACTATTTCAAGGAAGTAATTGAGCGTGTGTATGTATAATTTGTTTTGTCTTTTTTTTTTTTTTTTGCTATATTGCGTGATTCTTGGCTTAGTTCCAATCACAGCTTCTGTCAAAAAATTACGCGGAATGATGCATTTAAAAATCGCGCATTAATTTCAATTGTTAGGAATGGTTCGGTTTTAAGCGGTGAACTAATACGACGCCCACTTTCAACTTTGTCTGGACAAGTAAATTATTTGTAAAAGCTATTTATGGTAATAATAATAATAATAATAATAAAAGATTCGCATACAAACAAACATTGTAATATTCTCTAGGACACTATTACAAAATATGGCAAAAATCAGTAATAAACTATAATTAATTGAACGGGATGTGTAATAGAGATGGGCGGAAACTATAAGGGGCAAAACATGGTTTTTTTTTTAAAGTTAGAATTTTTTTTCTTACATAACTTCTCTTCTTTTAACTCAATGTAAGCGATTTTTCATAGGACCTAGGATGTGATCGATAAAGAAGGAAACTCCATGTGGCAACACACAATTTTTTACTCAAAGTTAGAATTTGTTTTCTTGCATAACTTCTCTTCTTTAACTCAATGTAATGACCGCGAGCGAGTTTTCATAGGACAGATGTTGATGGTGCTCTTAGGATGCTTTTAGATTGTGATCGATAAGGAAGGAAACTCCATGTGGCAACACACAATTTTTTGCTCAAAATTAGAATTTGTTTTTCCACATAAGCGTTTTCCACGGCGATGTTTCGATTGTTTTGATGGCCGGTGATCTCTCTAAACAAATGAAAGACATCGGGGACCGGAACAATTTCTATTCCAATTCATTCGGTTTTTACAAACCCGAACAATATTGCGCCTGTTACCGTTCTTCGACCCCATTTCAACTTACTTTTGAAGATTATGCCATCGACATTCTAAAACAGCACCGATCATATTGTTGCCCACTACGTTGGCGTCCTTATCTCTTTAGGGCATTTTTTACCTGAATTCGGGGTGTAATGTTGAATATGTTCTTTATCCTTAATATATTAAATCAAGAATTCTTGTTTTTTTTTTCTCTTTTCTCATAATTCAACTTTGTTCACTAAAATATTCTCTTTTAAGAGGGATATATATATATATATACACTTGACGTTTCGAATCTTTTTTTATAGAAAGATATCTTGACGAAAGCCAGTTACCTGCAATGACGCAATGCGTTTGACTCAAATCCTTTCGCCTAGAGCATGATTTATGGTAATCAGATAACACTCACTGTGATGATGACTGAACGCGGTACGCTTTCGGCAAATCACTTTCTAATGCCCAAATATTTTCGCCTTTTTAATATCTTTAGCACATGTCAACTATCTTTTGCAACTTGACTTGTCAGCCATCGAGAATAATTTTCAAAATTTGCTTTCCTTTTCTTTTTTTTTTCTGGACTCCAGTACAATCACCTCTTTTGGGTATCAATAATGTTCGGCATTAATGGTGTTGGTACCATTATTGAGAGATGTTTTTTGTTAGAGATCACGAAAAAGCAAATCGGCCGAACTACTTGTTAGATATCTTGAAATTCTTCAAGAAGTGTTCATTCACACATGAGTACGTTCAGTTTGAATGCATGAAATTTTCTTGTATCGAATTGTTGATAGAAGAGATTAAGCACAAATCCACACAAGCATACGCACACACGTACTCGTAATCACGTGAGGCTATCTGAGCCTCAATTTAGTATCATAAATTTTTTCAATTGTTTTTGTCATTGCTACCCTCAATTAGATGGCCGGAAGAGTGAGTTTCAGTTGTTCTTTTATGATCACGTTTAAATGATCATCCGTCAGTCATTTTAAGCATTTGATATGAAGAGGCAAACTTCGTCCGTTACGTTTCGCGAAAGTGTTTCAATAAAGAAATAAATCTTATCATCACCGTCTGAAATTCACTTTTTCGATGATGCGGGAACAGGAGAAATTAAGACTATCAAAACATATATATGCTACTTACTAACTCTGAACGCCATAATATATGTGACCAGTAATTGTCTGCGTGTTTTCTCTACAGAAATTTTACTTTTGTTTGACCGCTAGAGGCACTCACTACTACTCAATGATTCAGTATCCAATATTATTGTCCTAAGTTTTGGAATTTTTAAATGTCGGTGTAGCGAAGACGAGGTAGCAGTTAAAAATACTTGAAGAAAATACATAAAACTTATGCTCACACAATAAATTCAAATACAAAATTTAAAAAACTGCAATTGCTTAGTATTTATTATATATGTGACAAAAGAAAAGTTCATAGCTCAGATCAGTGTTAATAATATGATAAACAACAAGCACAAAATTTATAACAGTTATGTGCTATTAAAATAAATATATTTATATATATATTATATATATATATGAGTAGGTAAAAAATACTTACGCTTCGCAATATGGCATTTTATTAAAACCTTTGTATGTCTTCATATTCAATGCCATGCCACATTCTGTACACTTAAAACACGTTTTATGCCAGGTCTATAATGAGAAGAAAAGCAGAGGAAGACAAAAAAAAGTAAACAATAAAAACAACAAATTAAATACAAATTCAAATACAAATGAGATTGCGATTGCGAATAGGAATACGAATAGGAATAAAAATAAACTAGTTTTTTTTATTTTTATTTTTTTTTGATTTTTTTTATTTTTTATTTTTATTTTTTAAAGGTAACAAACAACTCACACATTTCATATACAAAGCGAATCTTAGATACCTTGTTGTCTTGCGTCAAAAGTGTTATTTATGCGCGTTATGCATGTTCTGCATGTTATGCATAGTTCGTTACAATCTGTTGATTGATGCAAGACGAGCATAGCACAGTATGTTAAAAAACGATAGATAGAACGATACTACTAATGAGCCAAATTGGTAGCATTTCGATAAATGCTTCTTTGCAATCTGCAGCATCGGGAGAGTTTAGAAGTTAAACATTTTGTGGGGGTGGGGGGCGAGTCTACAATCTGGGCGAAGGCATGATAGTTTCAATAATGACCAGAACATGAACTCAGGACTTTGCATACTCCCTTCCGTACAATAGAATCACGCATCTGCTCACCCATTATAAGTACCGACTATTTAATACCGATAATTTTATAAAATTTAATTGAATATTGATAACTGTTTTTATTTATGGCAAAATGATTAGGAAATATGTAAATTTAAGGAAAAATTAAAGGAGTTTTTCATGAAAATCTATAAACAAATCTTTTGAACACAATTTCAATGCACAGTTTCTATAGGCAAATGTACTATGTGTACTATAGTACATATATATATATATATATATATATATATATCAAATTACACTAACTACACCGACAACAACAATTGGTAATTTGGAAAACGTTTCCATTTTCCTTAAGTGTTTCTTACTAATGGTGGTAAATATTTATATTTAATTTGAAATGAAAAGGTAGAGACAAAGAGGCGGATTAGAAAGTCTTAGAAACAGTTACGATAGATAGATAGATAGATAGATAGATAGATAGGTAGGTAGGTAGGTAGATTCAAGACTTCAAGAAAGGCAGATAAAAAGAGATAGGAGGTATAGAGGAGGACGCTTTAAAGCGAAACATATTCACACAATATATATTTTAGGTAGTAATTTAACTCTTTATATATTATACTACTTCGTTATAAGATATGAGTGTAATCGGTTTTGAGATTAAATTAAATAACTTAATTTGACTGTCAAGCATTAAATTACAAACAATTACTTAATGTTTTCTTAATTTAATATGATTTTATGCTCTGGAAATTCATTAATTTTACCTTTCATTTTTATTTTTTCTGCTTATCTTACACAAATCGCAATATATTGTATGATTTAATTGCATAAATTTTGCAGAAATTGTTTTTTTTAAATGGAAAGGCAAAATGTGAAATGCATATTAAAATAAATATTTTATGTATTTAACAGCATTGTTGTTGTTGTCAATCAAGATTAAAGAGCACTTTAAGGTAATTATAAACTTTATTTAACTTAACCTATAATTTGAATAGTGTTTGGCTTAGAGAGAAACTTTTTCTACTTTTCCCTCTTTTGAGGTCAAGCCATTAAATATTCCTTCTAATATTGCAAGTTTGGTGTGTAATCGAAGAGCGACTGTGTTTATTGTTAATCAAATCTAATTTAATCATATTTCGACACAAAAAAAAAAAAAAAAAAAGAAAAGCCATTGTACAGGTGCGTAAGTGACAAGTTACAATGATTATTGTAATCTTCCCCATAAACGAGTTATTGATCAAAAGTGGTAATGTATGGTGGTGCGGACAAACACAGTAGTTCTTAAAATGGACTTTATGGAAATGGAAACTTTACAAGCATTGGTCTGCCATTGCGAATCATGAACCGATTGAGAGATCACCGTAGCTAGGGATAGGGTACACAGAAGGGCCCAGTTCTTATGATCTGCCCGAGAATATTGTGTGTTTCTCGAAAATTTATCTTCCGAAGTAGCTGGCCCGGCAATGACACGTGCGTCCGTCTCTACAGCCTCTCATCCTCTTTAAGTGACACTTGACACAGACAGTCAGAGAGAGGATTGTTACAGAGAACTTAACCGTTACACAAAAGTCTGGTTTGGTTTGGTTTTCAACAATTATGGCAATTTATTCAGTATATATGTATCAGTATTACGTAAGCGTTTGATGATTCTTAGCAAGCATGAGTTAACCAAGTTACACATTCATCTCTCATTGACACTTACATCACTTCTTAAAACATTTAAGTGAATGTGATAAACTGTTGCATTATTTGTCCATTTCTTGAAATTATGATCGTCTCGTTTTGGATGTTGAAGACAATGCAATTCGATTCAAGAATTTAATTTGATTTGGCTGCAGTTGTCAAAGTGATGTGCACAGTATGATATCTCGTAAGGGAGTTCGTTTGTCTTTTTCCCGTCTGCCATTGTCATTGGTGTCATTTAACCATCAGCTGTGTTTGATGACAAAGCCAAATCTTTAACTTTTGTTCACAGACTGAAACCCACTACTACTACTACTACTACTATTACTACTACCGCTACTGCTACTACCACCACCACCACTACTACTACACTTTCCTCTTTGACTGCTCGATAGAGTTTTTATTTTTTTTCCTTTACTTTGCTACCCACGAACAGCTGCTCAAAAATTTTATCGCTTGACTGCGTGTAATTTTCTTGCTTTTTTAGAATTTTTTTTTTATTTTTTTTTTTTTAATTGTTGTTATTGCACGTTTTGTACTTAGTTTTAGGTTGGTTTTAGGGGATTTTTCTTGGTTCAATTTTTTGCTCTGGTTTTTTGGCAATTATCTATGAAATGTGTTTGCTATGTACATTCATTTTGGTTGTTACCGTTGTAGTTGGTTTTCTTTTTCTTGTCTAAGTGCAGCCAAATGTTGGAAATTAAACTACATAGAAAATTCATTTCAAACAAGACCAAACGAGGTCGTTTACTTTCGCCCGAAAACTTTTTAATCAGATCATTGACTATGAAAATTGCAGAGAACTTTTATAATGCAACGAACAAATTATATATTAGTAGTTAGCGGTTGTAGTAGAAGTGGTAATAGTAATAGTAGTGGTAATAGTAATAGTAGTAGTAGTAGTAGTAGTAGTAGTGCTAATAGTAATCAATGAGATTTTGTGATAAAAAAAGAACTAATGCCACGCCCATTTTGGATATTGGATATCTGAATTTTTCAACAGTATAAAGGATTAGGCGTTTATTTAAAAAAATACTTGGTATGATTGAATGTAAAACAATTTAAATTTAATATCGAATCACATTTATATATTGTGTGGATAGAGGGTGATGTACTTATACCCATCACCGAAGGAGGAGGAATGTATTCATTTGGTTAAAACGTTTACAACACGCAAAAGGAAGCTTCGCAGATCATAGAGTGTGTGTATGTTCTTGGTCAGTTGCAAATTCTAAAACGATGTCCGTCTGTCCGTATGTGAAAAACATTTTGTTGGTCGCAAAAATGCAACAATCGACTTCAAATTTGGCAGAACGATTGAAAGAAGTTCTTGCACGCAAATTGATATTCAAATTGGGCCAAATCGGTCAAAAGACACGCCCACAATACAATATAATCTGCGGGTAACTATGTTTTCAAAAATTAAAAGAATTTGGCTTTTTCTCGTTACTAATAAACCGCAACAGATACCACGATAAAAATGTTCATTTGCGTTCATATAGGTCGCCCTGCAGCATCTGTACAAAGTTATACAAGATTATATTTTTATTTTTTTACTTTTTTGACGGTTTTCTCTTATTACGCATTAGGTAAACAAGACGAAATGTTTAAAATTGTTTCATGCATTCCTTAAATGAAGATGCACAAATATGATGGACACCACGGCATGGCGGATGAATTTTTTCCGCATCTTTCCTATTTCCTAGGATAATGAAGATAGATATAAAAGATTCGCTCGCGGCCGATTATAATTTTCCTATTTGTTATCTTTATTCAGATAATGCTATGAATGGATATTTCATCCAAATTCATTAAATATATTACGGCAGGACATGGCCATTATTTTGGGGTCCTATATCTAACCACATAAGTTGTTTAGTAGGTAAGCATCGCGACTAGCAAGCTAGTGTTCGCGGGTCCAAATCTCAAGTTCGGTAGAGATTGCTTTGGTCGTAGCTACAGTGCGTAATCTGCCGGGTAAAGGTATAACACTTATCGACCGGGCATCCTATCGGCCACACTAACTAGCCTACGATCACACTCTGTCCATCTCTTTCTCTTTTGTGACTTTTCTCTGACCATGACCATGTTACAAGAATTGGGAACATCCCTAAAATGATTGGCTTCGTTAAAAAAAATACGACAAATGTAATTCTCTTGGGAGACACCTCATCGAATGCATACCTAAATATATGTCATACTTTTGAAATTAAGAACTTATTATTATTAGTGTTTGCGATCGCTTTACATGGATCCGTGCGTTTTTAAAAATTTTTGAAAAAAGTGAGTTGAGACAAACGGAATCATGTGAATGGACAAGAAAAACTTGATAACATTATATATATAACATATCTCGATAGAAGGTCTTGGGATCGCGCATAGATATCGCCTTTGATGATGAAACTATCGCAATGTGTAGGACTGGGTAATCATCACTGGCATCCAGTTGTTTAGCAAGAACAGCTGAAAACGAAAGCGAATGTTGAGTTTTTCATACGTGATTAAACTCAATGAGGGTAATTTTTTCGATTACCACAAAAAGATCAGTGATAACACTTTTTCTCCCCCTCTCGTCAGTTCGTGTAATTAATAAAATATAAAAGCTCGTGCATCAGGCGTTTCATTCTCTACTAGCATTGTCAGTTAAAAACTATCTATATTTTTTTTTGTAATAGTTGAGCTCAATTGATTACTGAAAGCAGATCCAACAAATCCATAAGCTTTTTAAATAGTGTACAAATTTCGTGCCATTCCAGCCATTGGTTTACAAGCTAATTGATTTAGTTT